CTCCTGTAGATGTTAATTTGTATCTTTCTAAGAATGTACAGGAAAGTATTTCTCAATTAGAGTATGCCCAAATTATTGGAAGCTTAATGTACTTGATGAACTGCACTCGCCCAGATATAGCTTATGCAGTAAGTAAATTAAGTAGATATACGAGTAATCCGGGAGTAGAACACTGGAAAACAATTATAAAGGTTTTAACATATCTCCGATTCACTCGTAACATTGGGCTGAATTATACAAGATATCCAGCAGTACTTGAAGGATACTGTAATGCAAATTGGATATCAGATACTAGAGACTCGAAGTCTACTAGTGGGTATGTCTTTACTCTTAGTAGGGCAGTTGTATCTTGGAAATCTTCTAAACAGACTTGTATTGCTAGGTCTACTATGGAATCAGAATTCATAGCTTTAGACAAAGCTGGGGAAGAGGCAGCATGACTTCGTCACTTCCTTGAAGATATTCCAATATGGCCAAAACCGGTGCCTGCTATATGCATACATTGCGATAGTCAATCAGCTATAGATAGAGCACAGAGTCATATGTATAACGGTGAGTCTCGACATATTCGTCATCGACATAATACCATAAGACAACTACTCTCTAATGGAATTATTTCCATTGATTATGTGAAGTCTAAAGACAACATATCGGATCCACTAACCAAAGGGTTAGCAAGAGAGCTAGTTGAGAATTCGTCGAGAGGAATGGGACTAAAGCCTATTAAATAAGAGTTACCACAACGGAAACCCAACCTAGTTGACTGGAGATCCCAAGATCTAGGTTCAAAGGGACAACCGAGTTGTGAATGACTCAGAAGGATCACTGGGGAGTCTAACTCCTACCTATTTCTTTGATGAAATAGTGATGTCTGCATCGTTTGAGGATAAGTAAAATTTTAATGAATCTTATATCTAGGTAAACCTAGTGGAGTATGGCAGGATACTCTTCATAAAAATCACCTATGTGAGTGTGAACTGGGCCGGTTCTATGAGAATTGTGAAGGGCTACAAATCTCTAGACCACTCATGAAAGACCAGGTTGTTCAGGGCCAAAATGAACACAATAGTGAGAACTAAACTGTGTCTAGAGATACACTATGTGAGTTCTATTGTCTTGGTTTACACAAACGGCTGAACAGTTCAAGACATCAGGTTCACTGATTAGCTAGTAAATCCGATAGTGTCTCACAAGAGAAGGTTCAAAGCCAAAAGCTACCTATCCTTTGCAGAATATTTCCAATTTCTGTATTCTCTGAAATCAGATCATGTTGTTGCATTTTCTCTCCGTCAAATTCCATTAATGTGGAGGATTGTTGGAAAAATGGTGTTTTATATGGCTTATTTTGAGCCGACTTTGAGCCCAAAATTGAGTGGGCCCCAAACGTCTTTTGGGGTGGGTCCGTAGAGGTGGAGTGTTCCTTGACGCGTGGCAAGTCACACGTTGAAGACGGAACGTCAAAACCATTTACGAGTGAATGGGAAGTTGACTTCGTTTTCGGGTCTAACATTAAGTTTTTTTTTAGACAAAGTTCATTTGAATTTTTTCAATAAAAATTATTGTGGGAATTTAATTTAAATATAAATTTATTTTTGGTTTTCTAAAGTGGTTTCCTAAAATTGATTAAACTATTCAAATAGTTTAATATATTTATTCCAAACAGGTTTTAAACTTTCCACCTTTAGTTTTATTGATTAAATTATTCAAATAGTTTAATAACAAATTTCCAACAGTTTTAAAACTGTTCCAACGGATCCTTTTTCAAATTATTTGGAAATTTGTTCTTGCAACGGACCAATCAACTATTCAAACAGTTATCTGTTCGAATAGTGGGTGCACTTGTTCAAAGTTTATGTGCACCTTTTCACTTAATTTTGGTACCTGTTCGGGTCAATTATTTGGCTATAAATTCAGCCAATTTCCAGCAATCCGAATGATCCAAAAAAAAAAAAAACAGTTTGTATAATTCCTTTTGCTATCCAATTATCATCTTTGGTGCATTATTCTCCATATTAATTTTAGAATAAATATTTAGAGAGTTAGAACACAGGCTTAGTTCGCCGAACAATTTGTTTTAGAGTGCTACTATAAATTGGTTAAGATCATTGTATCATGGGAGATCGACGCCACTCAACCGTAAGCACCGTAGTGGGGCGAATCTGTCTTAAGGATAGAGTGTCACACACTCGACTTGGTCTTTGAATTTTTTCTGTTCGATAAATAAATTCGATACGTTATTTATTTATTTGTTCGGCTTTATTTCAATTTATTTTATTTACACAAAAGATTGTTCCAACAAGGTGTTTACAAAATTTCTTGAATTCAAGGCTTTTGTTGAAACTCAATTTACTACAAAATTTCAGATTTTAAGAAATGACAATGGAGGTGAATATCTGAGTAGTCAACTTCAAACTTTTCTTAAACAAAAAGGGATTAAGCATCAATTAAGTTGTCCTCATACACCTGCTCAAAATGCTGTAGTTGAACAAAAGCATAGGCATCTTATTGACACCACAATTACTCTTATGCATTACGCATCTCTTCCTTTGCTTTACTAGTTTGATGCTCTTGCTACAATAGTTTTTCTCATCAATAGGCTTCCTACTCTCAAGCTTAATAACCTTACACCATATGAGGTTTTGTTTAAGCAAAAGCTTGATTATCAGTTCTTAAGAACTTTTGGTTGTAAATGTTATCCTTCGTTTGACCTTTATACCACTCATAAACTTTAACCAAAGTCAGTTCCATGTGTTTTCACAAGCTATCAATCCTCCATTAAAGGATACAAATGTCTAGATCCTAAAACAGGAAAAGTTTATACCTCCAGACATGTGGTCTTTGATGAATTTTCCTTTCCATTTCAGTTCTCAACCTCATCCTCTTCATCATCTTCATCTATTCCTCCCTTACTTGATTCTGTTTGGTCTTTTACTTATTCTTTTGAACCAGTTCCTTTTCCTAGATCAGATTTACCTTCTTCTTCTGTTCCCTTAGATTCACCTGCACCTTCAGATCATTCTACTCCTATAGTGCCACCTACTGTAGTCAGTCATTCTTCAACCTCTCCTTCTTCCTTACATCCATCTCCTTTTCCTATTATTTCACACACTTCTACTGGCCCTTCTTCTCAGATTCCTATTTCTTTTATTTTTATTGATCTTCCTTATTCTTCATCTTCTAATGTTCATCCTATGGTCACCAGGTCCAACTCTAAGGTTCCTTATTCTCTTCCTTCTATTCATATTTGTCCTATTGCCTCCACTGATACTTTTGAACCTCAAACTTATCAGGAGGCAGCCTTTTCCCCTACTTGGCAGGCTGTAATGGTTGATGAGTATGAAGCTTTTCAAAGACAGGGAACATGATCTCTTATTTCATTACCCCTTAGCAAACTGACAATTGGGTGTAAATGGGTTTTTCGCCTAAAAAAGAACTCAAATGGCTCTATAGCAAGACACAAGGCCAGACTAGTTGCCAAAGGATGTCTGCAGACAGAAAGAGTGGACTATTTTGAGACTTTTAGTCCTGTGGCCAAACAGCCCACCATTCGGATTCTTCTGTGTCTTGCCTTGCATTTTGATTGGCCAATCAAGCAACTCGACATATCAAATGCTTTCTTACATGGAATTCTTGAAGATGAGGTGTATATGCATCAACCTCAAGGATTTGCTCATGCCACTTAACTATCTCTTGTGTGTAAACTTCAAAAAACTCTTTATGGTTTAAAATAAGCCCATAGGGCTTGATTCTCTACATTTTCTCATTTCCTTCTTACTCAAGGTCTTCTTTCTAGCCATTGCGACTCCTTATATGTCAATAAGACTCCCATCTCCATCACCATTCTTTTCATTTATGGGGATGATATTCTCCTCACCGGCAGTGATTCTCTTCATATTCACACTCTCATTATACATTAATAACCTTTGCTACATCCTATAATAGTGAAAGTAATTAATCTCATTTAATGCATTCTTAACAAGTGTTCTCACTTGTTAACAAAATCCAAGGTTAAAATGGTATTTATGATTAACATTCAAGACTTTGAAGATAAACAATAAATTCTATGTTAGAAGAAGTTTCTCTCTAGTCTAGATGGCATTGTTTGGGTTCATGAGACTCGTCACAGGTCATGTTTTGATATTTGGAATTGTTCCTTTTTTAAGGCTCTTTGTGTATATCATCAGCATAAAAAATTAAATTAATCTGATAATCGTAACATTTTCGTTTGATCGCATTTGTCATTAAAAAAATAAGGCTAAATTACACTTTGTCCCCTTTATGTTTGGCCACTTTCTTATTTTGACTTTTAAAGTTTATTTTTTTCTCACTTTAACCCTTCATGTTTCAAAATTTTCCTAATTTACTCTTAAAGCTAATTTTTGTTAAAAATTAGACAAAAAAATGATATAGTCAGGTGACATAAAAATATTTTATTATATATAACTCACATTTCTAACATAAACTTAAATCTTAATATAATAATATATTTTTTATGTTATGTAACAACTATTATGGAATTTTCTATTTAATTTTGAACATAAGTTAACTTTATGAGTAAACTATGAAAAACTTGAAATATTAAAGGCCAAAGTGAGAAAAAATAAATTTTTAGAACCAAAGTGAGAAAGTTGCCAAATATAAAGGATCAAATGTCATTTGCCTAAAAAATAAATGACAAGTGTGTTTTTGAAAATAGATTTTTTTTTTCAAGATAAATGTGATAAAATAAAAATATTACAATTATCGAATCTACTTTCTTTCTTTCTTTTTTTTAAATTTTTTTTATTTTTCTAAATAATATACATGAAATATTTAAAAAAATAATAATTTACATTATCGAATTGAAATCTCTTCAGGATCCCATAAGTCGAATAATGTCTCTCTAATCCAGGTGCGGACCGGAGGAAAGCCTCCCTTTTTAGATTTTTTTCAACACATTTGAATACGGTATGTGCATTTTTTACACTTAACAAATATGCCTGAGACACTTGTTAGCAACATCTTACATTTATCATAATTTAGTAGAATTTGCATCTTAACCCTTTTACCGACATGGATTTCACCTTTTTTCTAGATAATTATCATTCTACGAAACACATCCTTTGAGAATAAACTTTACATAGACACCTCTCTGCTAATTAGCCATAGCCCATCTCTTTATTTTGGCTCTGTAAATTGCAATCTCTCTCTCTCTCTCTCTCTCTCTCTATCTCTCAGTGAGGATGAAGCTCTTAATGCGTATATTTTTAGCTGTTCTCCTTGTGACGATGCTTTTCCAGCCTTCAGGTTAGCTCTCTTATTAAACTTTTAATATTATTGGTCAGGAAAAACAAAAAAAAAAAATCACCCTTTTGTTTGTAGAAAAATGATTTATGCGTGCATATTAGTTGTCTAAATATTTTTGTGGTTGACATATATGATATTTTATCAAGAATATTAAATGTGTTGATAGGTGGAGATAAAGTCAAACTAATGTCAATAAATCAAGTTTGTTTTCATTTTTTGGACTGAAAGGTCCAGTTTGCATGGATGTGGGCTTATCTCGGGGTCTGTTTTAGTTTTTTAAATTAATCAATTTGTTAGGCCCATTAAGCAGACTATAAGTACATAATTTTTTTATAATTTTATAAAAGAAATTGACATATCGATTTCATTTGTTTTGCTGTAAAATATTTGACATTAAATTTTGTCATCCTTAAAAATAACTTGCTGAGTTTTGTTAGGGAAGTTATTTTAAGGCAATTGAAGCAAAGTGTTCTACTAGAAAAATATTTTCCTATTGCCAAACATCTAAAAAAACAAGAAATATATCTTAATAAAAATATTTTACGGAAAAACAAAGGGAATTATTGTTAATACTTTTGCTTTAAAGCTTTAAAGTGAAAGGGGTATATTAAATTACATCATTTTATGCATGGTTTCTATATAAATTTCATGTCTGTAAACTTTATATATTATTATCTTACAGTAATTTTGGTAAATAACAAAGTTTTGATGTGGTAGCAGAGATGAGTAGCACATGCAGGAAAGTGAGCAAGGTGTATAAAGCATTTTGCCCAGGGGATAGGGTCTGCAATGATACTTGCAAGCAAGAGGGCCTTAATTCTGGTTTTTGCCAACTAGTCCCTAAACATCAAGTTTGCATGTGCTTTTATTCTTGCCATTAAATAGAGAAAGCCTGCCCGTGCCTGCGTGTATGGAAGAATTTTATAGAATGATACACAGATATGAGATAAATAGATGACTTATCTTTTTATTTTATATCGTTGTCTCATTTTTTTGAATTTTTTCTGTATTTTTAGCACAACTATCCTAAATAAGAGCTTCTCTTGTCATTAGAATGTCTTTATATCAGTGTGATACAATAAAACTTTTTCATACAACCTTTTGGATAACATGTGAAAAAATAGATTATGATCCTGTCAATTTCATTTTATAAAGTTATAACAATTTTTTTACTTTTTAGGTGTATTTATGTTAGGTTTGTTTAAAAAGTAAAAAAATTATTTAAAATATTAAAAAAATTCAGTAAAAACAAAAAAAATACTGAAAATAAGAAAGTAGAATTTTCTGAAAAGTGTTTTGGAAAACTGGTAACCAAGCACAGTGATTGGAATGTTAAATTAATATATATATATATATATATATATATTTATAATTGTCATGTCATTCTTAACTTAAAAAATAAAGATATATGAATGTTTGTTTGTTTTTATTTTATTTTATTTTTTATTTTTTTTAATGAGTACATAAGAAGAATTTTTTTAATAATGAAGAAAAATTACAACATAGGAGGTCTGGTAAAAATTGTATCATAACTTAAAAAGTATATCTCAACATGACACTTATTATCAAATCTAATAGTCTGCATATCAAGACCATCTCTCCAAAAAGAAAAAGAAATTCATCTTAATTTCACTTATATATATATATTTATAATTGTCATGTCATTCTTAACTTAAAAAATAAAGATATATGAATGTTTGTTTGTTTGTTTTTATTTTTTATTTTTTATTTTTTTTAATGAGTACAAAAGAAGAATTTTATTAATAATGAAGAAAAATTACAACATAGGAGGTCTGGTAAAAATTGTATCATAACTTAAAAAGTATATCTCAATTACATTGACACCTACTATCAAATCTAATAGTGTGCATATCAAGACCATCTCTCCAAAAAGAAAAAGAAATTCATATTACTTAGTCTTCATTTCAAGCTAAGCTAAAAAAATTCTTATCAATTCGGTCCGTATAATTTTAATTGTATTGAATTTTACATTACAATTTTTAATTTAAAATAATTTAATCCAATTGATGGCGATTGTTAAGATTATTAATAAAGAATGGCCGCTTGCGCCTTGTGTGACCATTTTTACAGGGTAAAATAATCCATTAATTCTCAGCCACAATCTTCTTTTTGTTTTGGCAACTCATTGCACATCGCTATTCTTCATCAACCTATTTTATATGAATATAAGAGTATTTTAGAAAAATGATTAAAAATTGGTTTTTAGCTTTTAAAGAAGTTTTTTGATTTTTTTAGAAAATGATTTGAGAAGTTGGTAAAAAGTTACTTTTGTCTTTTTTGGTTAATATTTGTTTATAATGTCACATTATAATAAAATGATCAAACTACTCCAACCTAATTTAGGAAATTTTCATTTTCACCCATATATAATCATAAACAACATGGAGGGAATAATTGTAATTTCACATATAACTTTTTTTTGAACCTTCCCAAATGACTTTTATGTTAAAAAAGCCAATCTAACTTTTTGGACTAGCTGCAAAACGTAACTTTTAACCAAAGTTCCCAAATGGGTATATCATAGAGGCACACATGATCATTTTCAATTAAAAATTCTATTAACTATTAATAATTAACTCATCCAAATTTACACAATTCAAAATTTTAAAAACAAAATTAGGGATAAATTACATTGTCAGTCTTTGTATTTTGATATTTGTGTCATTTTGATTCTTAAAATTTTAATTGAATCAATTTTTATCTTGAATTTTTTACTTCATCTCAAATTGGTCTAATTGATTCTGATTGTTAATATTTTTATGGCAAATGTATACATGAACAGAATGTGTTATAACTTTAGGAACAAAATTGTAAATTTGATCAATTCAATAACTTAACTAATAACTACAACCAATTCAATGAAAATTTTCTATCAGAAGTCCTAATGACGTTATCAATTGGACTAAAGAGATACAATTACTAAAATTATCTAAACAAGTGGCAAAACGTAAAGATGGCCAATATAATTGGTCCCAAAATTAATATAATTGAAACTATAAAATCAAATTGACACGAGATGAACAACAAATACCACGTGTGTAAATTTTCCAAAACTAAAAACAGTAATGAAGGGGCTTCCCTGTAGTCTAGCAATTGGATTGGAAGATCCAGTTTTTGGAGGTTATAGGCCCATTCTTGGCTCATCTCAGTGACTTGAATTGGTTATTTTATTTTATTTTTATGTATCCATCACATAAATTATTTATGTAAAAAATTAAATTAATCATATATAAGTTTTGTTCATAAATAATCTACTGAAAAGCATTAGAAGAAGAATGTTTCAAATTGTATCTTTCAGTCCAGCTAGATGTAAGTCCAGTACATTACAATGTTTTCAAACTTCGAAATGTTTTCATTTTTTGGAAATATGAAAAATAAAAAAACAGAAGCAGTAAAAGTTAAACCATACAGTGAAGGCCATGTGTATCATACTTTCAAAGGAGAAGAACTATCATTATGAAAGGAGATTTGCTTCTCTTCAAGGTGATTTACTTGGAGAGATCTATTTTGGGGCTCATTTTAATGATTTAAATTGTTACTTTTATCAAATTTATTAAAAAGATAATTTATATAATTAAATTAAATTGATTGGATTGGATATCGGTAATTATTTGTTATGATTACATTTGCTGTGTAAAATTGGATAGGGAATGTAGTTTTAAGAATACGTTAGGTTTTTGTAATTGGCAATTTTGTTTGACAAAACTTCTTTTAATTGTAATTTTATTTGCTGTTTTGTTTTAGTAAAGATGTAAGTGTTTATGTAAATTCAACTCGAATTGTACTTATGTAGAGGAGTTTGTGGTATTAAGCCTTTTATGTTTGCCATTTTGCTGACTATATATGACGATCGAACTGCCAGTCAGCTCGCAGGGATCTAGGGGGCAACGTCTCATGGCGGGGTTGAGAGGGCACTCGAGCGGTAATTTGTGCACTTGAGCAGTAAATAGGAGTATCTAGTATATCTGCTTATAAATTGAACTTTTGGGAAATATGTTTCATTACTCGATCGGTGAAATGTGCGCTCAAGTGATCGGCTTATATGCTTTGCACCGCCTTTACTAACACTGCTCGAACAGTGAAATGTGTACTTGAGCGGCCTTTGCAATCCTATTTACTATAAAGTGCGTTGTTTGCTTTTTGTTGGAAGAGGTACATTGGGGTCGGTTGAATTCGGGTGTGGATTCGTTAGGTAATTGAGGGTACATATCTGTAATTCCTTTTTGTCTTCTTAGTGAATTGTTTTGTAATTTTGGTCTGTAGTTTTTTTTTTTTTTTTTGACGTTAAATCTTTGTATCGATTTGTTATTGATTTTTTGAATTCATTATTTAAAATTGAAATATAAACACGAATCAATATCTCGGAGATTTTAGATTTTTCAAAATAGATTGTCTATTTTTTTAAGACAAATGTAATTCGATTATCTGACTACAGATGTCCAATCAATATAATTTTTTGTATGAAATTTTTTCTTGACGTACTTTACAAAACAAACTATTTGAATTATTCAAAATTAACAATGCTACATTTTCCTAATCCATCACTCGTACATGATGCCTACTGTTGTGATATTGAAGTTAGACCCACATAACGAAATGTTTAACAAATCAAAATTTGACACTTGTTAAATAGATCATTAAATATTATTTTTAAGAGTAATAAATTAAGTACCCTAAGCATTTTTCATTCAAAATTTACTGTGAAATAGGCCTAAAAAATTCAACATACCTGTTCAATTGAATCACCAATTAAAGATATCACGTTTGTAGTGTGAAAAAATAAAAATAAAAATAAAGGTTCCAAAAGCTTTACACAGTAAACAAAAAAAACAAAACCAAAAAAACCAAAAAGAAAAAACAAAAACAAAAACAAAAAAGTTAGTGAGCCGAAAATGTGATTGAAAATTCAACTCTGCTGGTGACCCCCAGTGGGAGGGACCCCAGTGACCCCAGTATCACGTGTCGGTTTAGGAGTGGCTGAAAATCAAAAAAAAAAATATATATATTTTTGGACCAATCACAGAGGACCCCCAGCACCCCTACTGGGGGTCTCTCAAGCTTTATTCTTGAAAATTTATTGGAAAACAAGTTTGTGGTGGTAGTAATTCAAAATTTATTTTTAAGCAATTTTTAGATTGTGTTTAAATCTTTAGATTTATGGAGAAATTGGTTGAGAGAAGGCAAAAATGAATGAAGTATAAATTAAATTCTTGGGGATAATTATAAAAAATAAAAAATAAAAAAAATCAAGTGTTTGAATTTTGTAACAAAATAAATCTTAAGCTTTTAATTTTATCAATTTAAACCTTGAACTTAAATTTGTTTTCAATATAAATTATTGTCTATTTTCATTAAGTAAAATCGATGAATGAATGAATATTTTAGTCATTAAACTCAATAAAACGTGTATTTTAGACATTTTATATATATCTGCATTGAGTTTAATGACTAAAATATTTTTTTTCATCGGTTTTACTTAACAAAAATAGGTAAATGGTTTAAATTGAAAAAAATCAAAAGATTAGGATTTAAATTGATAATTAAAAACTCATGATTTATTTTGTTATAAAGCTCGAACCCTTTTTTTTTTCTTTTTTCTTTTTTTTCTATTTGCCCCAATTTTGTTTCTCACTTTCCCCTTCTCTTTTTATTTTCCCTCTACCGTTCAAGATCTAAATACAGTATTAATGTAGTACAATTGGAGTTTTGACATTACGGCCCTTTTTTTGGTTTTGGTTTTTGTTTTTGAGCAAAAAATATTTTTCATTAGGAAATTTGTTTTAGAAATTTTTCTGAATTTTTTTCCCTATATTTGATTGTGTTTTTTTAACTAATATACTAATTGTGTATTAGTAGCAGAAGGGCAAAGGTGGTGATGGCAATGGTGGCGGGGCGAACGTAGAGGTGGTAATGGGGAAGAGATAGTAGTGGCGACGATAGTGATTGATGGTGGCGGTAATAGTGCGGTAACATTTGAATGACTTTATCCTAGGAAATATTTTCTTTAATAATGAAAAACATCTTCTACCTAAACAGATTTATTTTTTGTGGACCACAGAAAATATTTTTTTATTGACTTTCATTTTCTGTTAGACCTAAATCCAAAAAATCTGAAACGTGTAAC